AAAATATTAGTAAATTCTCTTGCAATAAATTACTTGTCAAAATTCTTCACTGTGTCGATGACAGTAATGAAATGGAACAATTCCCTAGTGGTAAAGTTCAGTATCAAAAGCTTTTTTGCGAATATATGAGAATCATATGGAAATTGAATGAATTCTTACTTCATTTAACTTATTAAAATTTAATCCGTTTAAAGACGCACACGGGGCGGGTCCTCATTTTGATATCGAAAGTGCAATTTTACTTAGAATTTGAGGATAAGTGACCTATCAGAGAAGACTTTTTTAAATTAACCCCCTTCCTTTGAAATTTGTACTGTGCGGAAATAACTTTTGGTAACTATTCAACATGAAATTTAATATATATCTAATTTACAGTTCAGTGTATGCAAAGCCCGAGATAACCCATTTCATAGGAAATCCGAGATAGTAACAGTATCTTCATTACTTCTTTAACTGCGGCACATGGTCGTCACCGCGTCACATTAGTTACGATTCTATTATATTAATAGTATTATGACGTCCAACTTACGAACATTCGTATACATCTTTATGCTTTAGTTGATTTTGTTTTCTCGAGTGTCTTGGGCATTGCCTTTTGCTCGATTTTTTGCTTCGCTGTTCCGACAAATATCGTACTTTTATCGGGAAAGTTAGATGATACCCCTGTTTCTATGCACTGTATATATTATTCCATGTATCTTTGCACTTTCTTTTAAAATTCACTTTGAATGTCTGTGGCATATCAGCGTCTACTTAAGCACAGCTCCTACAGTTATGTATGACAACAAGCTTCCCATAATACAGATATCTGTGTTTCCCATGTCAAATGCATCAATCAGTTCGTCAGACTTATCGTTTTTTTTCTAAGATTATAGTATAGCATATAATAATAATAATAATAATAATAATAATAATAATAATAATGATAATAATATAATAATAGCCAGCCTTCCAGTCACATTCACTTGTAACCAAACCGTATCTCAGGAAATAACTTTTGGTAACGTAAAGCACAAATATTTGAACCGGTAAGTGCGGCACTGTGAAGGTGAATAATGATTGTAGCAAAAAGAACAGCATTTGAAGAACTTTACTGGACAACATTTTGAGGGAGGGAATGTGAAAAATATATGTATAGCGTTGAGAATTATGTACTGACTGTCGAGTACCATTTTGTTCTTTAAGTAAACAGAAATAGATTTTTATAATTGATACAAGCATGGAATATCTGACTCTTTGCAATATGCAGAATAAATCGGGATACACAAAACTGCAGTAGGTCTTATATCTGAAAATGAGGAAATTTTATTCATAAATGCTAATTGGTTTTGGCAGTTAAACAAATTTCTTTAATTCTCTCTTCGTATGATATATAGGATCTCTCTTCCTCATTTGAATCTAATGACTTCAGTGGAAAGATGAATGAGGCAACTTTAAGCATATTACTTTCTTGCTTTTACTTTTCGTATTTCATAGTTGTTCTTTTGCATGGGTGTGCCGATTTATATATAACGCCCATGAAATCTGAATTAGGAAAATCATTTTCATCCTTTTGCGTTTGATGTACAGGACGATTTGAGCGAAAGAAAATGTAACGCTTTTCTTTCGAACAAGGGGAACTACTCTAATGTGATATCTATCGCAATAGAATTTATGTTTGGTGATCTATGAACGTACTTGATTGCCATTTTTTACAAACTGGAGGTATGGCACTATAATAAAATATCTAATCTTTTCCGTGAACCATTCTTCATACAGGTCTTACAGTTGCAAATATGCATTTATCTAGCCTTTATTGTGCGTAAATACACAATTTTACATTTTCATAGCGACGAAAGTTTTCTTGTGTCCGTAGACGCAACCGACAGTAGACGCAAAAAGCCCAAGTGTGCTGGTCATTAATGGTAATTACTTACAGGCAGGGTCTGTCCATCCTCATGTATGCTCCGCGGGCAACCTTGAGTCTCCTTCCAAACTGTCCGCACTCGTATCTCGAACAACGGGCACGTTGTTGGTATCACCTTGCCCAGAGTAAGGTCGAAGGACCTTGGTGCAGGCGGTGCCACATTCATGCTTAGAACAGCGACTACATTGTGCCTGTCATTGTACTAATAGAAGGCTTCTGAGGAAGACGAAATTACTCTGTAATGAATACAAGACTTAGTCTAGCTGAAATTTATTTCTCACAAACCAATGCTCGTATATGTACAGCACGCACGCGCGCGCACACACACACACACACACACGTCATGTGTGCGTGTGTGTATTCTGTATACAAAATATTAATACGTAATGAGAGAGAGAGAGGGGGGGGAGGAAGAAGAGAGAGAGAGAGAGAGAGAGAGAGAAGAGAGAGAGAGAGAGAGAGAGAGAGAGAGAGAGAGAGAGAGAGAGAGAGAGAGAGAGAGAGAGAGAGAGAGGGGGGGGGAGGAAGGAGAAAGAGAGAGGAAGGATATATAGAGAGAGGGAGAGAGAGAGAGAGAGGAATGAGAGAGAGAGA